GTAGTTCATTGTTTTTATGCACAGGCTACATTCCTAAGATTTTTTTTTTCTTTTCTTTTTTTTTTTTCTTGCCCCCCCCCCCCCGACTCGAGAGTCAAATGTCGTCCATGTTTAGAGCCATCAGTGAACATTAATCTTGACACGTGTGTCTGCCATCGACTGTTTAATGGGGCTCTATGGGTCATGCACAGAATCCGGTGCACAGATTCACACACAGTAAAGTTTGTCTGAGCTTGTAAAAGACTCTGTTTAGACTTCAACAATAAGAACAAAAGAGCATCAATTATTTCAATAAATGTGACTCATCAAACTCTAGCACTGCACACTGGAGACTTACACAATAAAGACAAAGCCTTTTCTGATGATTTTTTTGAGAAACTTCTAAAAGTTGTTTCAAATGAACCACATTTGGTGAAGCACAGTCCCGCAACTACCAGCCCTAGTAAAACATGTTCACAATTGACCATAAAACACCTGAGAAGCAGCTGCATGCTGAAACATGACTTCTAATAGGAGCAATTTTTCTCCAACTATACACAGAATGTCTCTTGAACAATGAACTGGCCTTTAAATCAGCTTTATAGCGCAGACAAAAGACTTAGATAAGCCAGATACGCAGCTTTTATGTGACAGTTCCTGAACAAACCAGAACACTGCAGCTTTAGTTCCAAGAACCAGTAATGAACGCTCACAACAGATGTTTAATAGTCTTCCCTGCTGTGGTACTGGAAAACCTGAACACACTCACTGAATGCTTTGAACATTCCAATGCACATGATAATGTCTGTTAACTCTGATGAATAAGGTCAATACATACCACCATTCAAGGTTTGGGATTAGTAAAATTTTTACGAAATTAATACTGTTATTCAGCAAGACTGCATTAAATTGATCAAATTTGACAGGAAGGAATATTAAGCAGCACAACCATGTTTAACATAATAATAATAAATGTTTCTTGAGCATCAAATCAGCACATCAGACATTTCTGACAGATCATGTGACACTGAAGACTGGGGTAATGGCTGTTAAAAATTCAGCTTTGCCATCACAAATGGCAATAAATGGCAATATCCTCGTGGTTAGTATGCCGACATACAGCGCAACTGCGCTCATGGCGACCCAAGTTCGATTCCTGTCTCAAGGTCCTTTGCCGAACCCACCCCCCTCTGTTTCCACCCAATGATTTCCTGTCAGCTCTCTACTGTCCTGTCCCAATAAAGGCAGAAAACACCCATAAATATAACTTAATAAAATAAATAAATATATATATATAAAATAAATACTTTTAAATTTTAATACTCTTCACTCTATTTCTGATAAAATATTTTTATTGTAACAATGTGTTTTTCTGTCAATATGGTGTGCTGTGTGTACATTAATGAGGAAAAAAAATTAACTTAAATGATTTTAGCAAATGGCTGCAATATAACAAAGAGTGAAAAATTTAAGGGGGTCTGAATACTTTCCGTACCCACTGTATATATATAATTAAACTAATGAAACATTTTGAAATAAGCTAAAAACTTTTAAATGTTGAAGTACTAAATCTACAAACTGAAAACTAAAAGTAAAAAAAGAAAACTATTTAGAAATATTACATAAATAATACATATAAAAAGGGTGTAAAATTAAAATAAAAATGGAACATTTTATATTTTATGTCTGTTTTAATTGTACATCATAATTGTACCTTTTTATTAGTTTAATTTCTATAATAAATAAAAGAATAAAAATAAATAGGTGATTCCAAATATTTATAAACTCTCTCTGTATATAAATCTTCCATTGTTCTCCTCATTTGTAAGTCGCTAAATGATTAAATGTAAATGTAAATGTAATTAAAATACTTGGTTGTCAACATCTAGTTTAACTAGTCGGTTGTCAACCATTGTGACCCTAATTGATAGACAAAGCTACTCAAACCCATCATGTTTCCTCAAAACACTACACCTTAATTGTCTATTGGAGTGGATGGTTTCCCTCTAGTTTGACAGCTTGTCAGCGCAAGTGTGATGGACATGTGTCTCTGACTGTTCACCATACACACATCACACAGACAGGCGGCTGGTCGAGCCATGTCCTCAGCTCTCGCCTCACTGACACGCTCAATCATGTCTTCTGTCTGTCCACAGTGAGGCTGATCTCCTCCTGTTAAATGCCTGGCCTGGGACCCTTCACCCAAGAAAGACCATTAATCTGACTTCATCACTTCAATCCCAGACTTCCTCTGACAGGTAGCACACACGCTACTGAATAAATTTGAGCTTTGTCTTTGTCGATGCTGGACAAGATCCACATGCTGAATAGATGCAACAAGGTTGAAGGTAAATTAAATATATTATTGCTAGCACATAATTATCCAATGCCCAATAAACAATCAAATGTTTCCCAAATGCAAAGAAAGCTCATGATGCTTTCATAAAGTGTGTGAGCAGGACCCAAAATGGCGTGTTTAGAGCCATGAGCGACATTAGGGGTGTTGCCTCCCCATATCGTCAGTCAAGTAATCCCCGATGTCAGCCCAGGCCCGGTTGTACGGGGGTACTAGACGGTGCTTAATACCCCTAAACGAAAGCAAAAGCAATTAAAATATCTGGCAAACTATCTAACGTGTTTTTGCAGCATTGAGCAATGTAGCCAATCGTAACAATTTATAGTTCTCTCTATATATAAGCTTGGTGAAACAAATATAAAATATATATATATATATAAAAATATAAAAATGCATATTTATATTTTTATATAATGCATGATGGAGCATATATTTAATATATTTTTTATATAAAATAAAAAAAAAAAAGATATAATCAGGTGAACTATTTGACAGCAGATCCTTCGTAAGTTCTGTGGGTGTCATAAAGGACTCAGACATTAATTTAAGCAAGCTGAGAGGTCGCTAAAACAGCTCACTTACCAATTATCAATTCAGGTTTAGATTCTAATATGATGGAAATTGGTGTGATGTCTGACTGACCTCCTTTCAAAATACATGTCTGAGCATTCCTGCAAAATAATTTGTTCCCAAAAGGTAGACAAGCATACCGCCAGAATAACGTTTTCCCAGTCAAATCCAATAACAAAAACAATAAGCTTCTTTCAATTTTCTGCGATGATTCCCCGGCTGAAGTGTGTATCTTTAAGACTCTGAGCTCCCCCTGATCAACTTATCATCCCCAGACCCAAGAGTCATTACAGCTGCCTGCAGTCTCAACCACTACTGATGGTTCCTGTCCTATTCCACGTTCAATGAAAATTGGATTTTGATTGCTTTTCACAGGATATTTTTAATTAAAGGCGAATGAGAATAGCATGTGAGACTAAGCAATACTTCATGGTTTAATTCCCAGAGAGAGTTATCAGAGAGAGAGCAAAACCATTTAATGGCTTCCTTACAAATACTGCCAATTAAAACAAGTGACATTTTTCGATCAGAATGAATTACTATGACCCATAGGAAGAAAAGGACTCAGGCCAAAATGGAAGCGAGTAAAAAGTGACTGTGTCAGAGTGAATGTATTGACACATGCTGTATTTAATCTGCTATAAAAGCACTGAAAATATTCAATTTACCATGACATCTTATCCTGCCTGGAGCTGTGAGCCTCACAGATCAACATAATGTGAACTAGTTAAATGCCGGTTGGACTGACAGATTGAAGGCCTTGCGTTAAAAGCCCGCTGGCTGGATTTGAGGGCCACTACTTGCATCTGTGCAGTGCAAAGAAATCTATTAGTGTAAGAGCAGCCATTTGTATGAAATGTAAGTGTGAACATTTACAGCGCTGGTGTGCGATATGTATTCATACGTCCTCGTGTGTGTGTGTGAATGTACCTCGGTAATGAAGGCCTTTGCTGTGGCGGGGCTCATGAACAGCACAGCACGCCTCAGTGTGTCCCTGTAGCGATGCAGCTCTTCCACCCTCATGGTGCGGAACATTCCAGTGATCATCATGTTAATATTGGATTCCACCTTCTGGAGAGACACATCCATCCCCTGCTGGGACGTCTGGTCCAGGAAGTTCTCTATGCCCCGGATATCTGAACAACAACAGACAATATAATTCAAACTACATTCAGTTTTTATGTGACTTGTCACACTCTGTTACACATATACTGTATATGTTTCTTAAAGGCACAGGACATTCTTTTTGTGATTGTCTTGGATTTATACACATGCTTAGAGAAAATGTTTATTTAATGAAGCAATTGTAGAAATGCAATATTACGATTATTTAATCTGCAGGTTACTGAAATAAAGCAAGTAGTGATCGGCTGGTCATGTGACCTCAACATGGCTGCCCCCATGAGGGGACCTGCTCCATGTGAAATGAAACAACTTCTAGGCTACTGATTTTACTAAAGTCTTCATGTCATGTGAGTATACATGATTTTAAACATACACTACAGTTCACAAGTTTGGAGTCAGTAAGATTTTTACTCTTATTCAGCCAGGACACACTAAATTAATCAACTGTTTTCAACATTAATAATAAGAAGAAGAAAGAAGAAAAATAAATGTTTTTCGAGCACCAAATCAGCATGATTTCTGAAGGATCATGTGACACTGAAGATTGGAGTAATTGCTGCTAAAAATATAGCTTTGCCATCACAGATATAAATAAATTTTTATTATTAAAATTTATTTTAAATTGTAATTATATTTCACAAAATTACAGCTTTTACTAATGTATTTTTCAATCAAATAAATTAAGCCTTGGCGAGCATAAGGTACTTTGGTCACACTTTATTTTAAGGTCCAATTCTAATAACAAACCATTAACTATGACTTTTGCCTTAACAAACCCCTAATTTGCTGCTTATTAATAGTTAGTTAATAGTGAGAATTGGTCCCTATAATAATAATAATAATAATAATAATGTTTTATTTTTATAGCGCCTGTCAGGAACCCAAGGAAGCTTCACAAAATAACACAAGCAATTAGCAAACAAAATACACCAGACAATCAGAGGGGACATTCAAACAAACAAGTGTTGACAACAAATATCTACAGATAATTAACAACAAGAGGTCATGCAATCAGATGATGAACATCAATTTTGTCAAGAAGGTGGTCCAATAACTACAAAGGTCATGTAACATACAAACAAAAGCTGGGAAACAGAGAAGCAGGGAGGCAAATTAGTTACTTACAGAATTTACAGCAGAGTTTTGCACCATTTGGAGGTGATTAATAACTTTGGCAGGTAAGCCGCTATATAAGGAGTAACAATAGTCCAGTCTGGAGGTTATAAAATTATGGATAACACTATATTAAACGATACAATACTTTAAAAAAAAAAAAATAGAAAGTTTTACACAAGGATATGAACGTGAAAAAAACTAAATATTTGGTGTCTGTAAGATATATTTTTTTAATTACTTAGTGCACCTTTTAAATGCAAGAACCATAAATGCCTCATTTATTTAAAATAGTGATTTATTAAAATGTAAAATAAAAGAAAAAGTACAAATTAATAAAAAGTGATTTATTATTTCTTTAGCATGAAAATTAGTGCAAATTAATGCACAACACAACCTTTGAAGCAAACAAACCTTGTTAGCAAATAGTCATGCAGATACTGTAAGAGTTATTTCTCCTGCAGCTCAACTGAACCTGAGCATAAATGCTGAAAGGACACAAGCAGTTACAGAGCATTCAATCACAGCGCTCATTCAAACAGACAGTGGTGTTTGCCAGAGGTCATGACAGAGAGATTAGAGAAAGTTATTTCACACTAAACAATGATCAAGCCAAATGTGACATTTATTAAAACGAGTTGTGTGGCACTTGTTGTCAGGGGTGTGAAGTAACCAATTACAAATACTCACGTTACAGTAATTAAGTAGTTTTTATCAGTAATTGTACTTCTTTGAGTAATTTTTTGAAATCTATTTTATACAATCCGCCTTCATTTAGCGGGTGCACTCGCGCATAAACAATTTTGAAGTTCAACACTTTTTGTTCCATTCAGTTGTGGATGCTGCTGATTCACGGCTCAGCAAAGAGACGCGTGTGTGTGTGTTTTCCTTTGAAAAAGTTTCCCCAGAAATACTTCGCTATTTAATGAATTTTTCCTTACAAACTGTATTATCAGCATAACAATTTGAGTAAATGTGTAAAAGGTATGGCATGATGCCATCCTTTGATGCTGAACTATGAGTTTCTAATGGTGTTTGTATTTGCACTGTTCTAAACATTAATATTTTATGTGCAACAACAGCATGCTGTTTCAGTGGCCTTACACATGATTTTAAATCTATTTTTTCAAACTTTATGATTTAAATGGGGATGATTGTACTGAGAATAACTTTCATCTTTTCTTCAACTGAATACTGTTTCCGTGCTGTTTTGATGTATTTGAAAGAGTAGGCAGTCAAAATTAAAACTGCTGGATGATAGATACTCTTCATTCTTTATGACAAACAAGATGTACAAGCTTAAAATGTATAAATTGCGGTGTACAGTGTTTATTATGAGGGGGTAGAATCCACAGCTCAGTATTAACTACTCAGTACTAATGAGTACTTTTAAATAGGCTACTCTTTTACTCTTACTCAAGTAGTTTTTTGGACAAGTACTTTTACTCTACTCAAACTACATTTTTTGGAAGGTAATGGTACTTTTACTTGAGTATATTTTTTCAGTACTCTTTCCACCACTGCTTGTTGTACATTCATTTAAATTTAAAGTTGTTTAAAGATGGATCATGTTCCATAACTGCTGCTGTTATGATGAACAAACAAATGTGGGATAATTTAAGTGCCTATTAAATGGCACATTCAATTATAATGACTACCCATTTTACCTTAAAAAAAATCACAAAATAATTGTATTTATTAAGAAATATCAGAAAATAAATCAATATCAGCAACAGTACTACGTATCAGACTGAATATAAACTCCCTTACGCCTGGCAATATCAACCATTTTGTTTTCACCTTCACCATTACTGTGATGACCGTGTGGCATGGGAACGCATTAGCATGTGTGCTAACAGTGCTCAGGAGTGGGCAGCAGCAGAAACCTGTGTAGAACATTTATCACTGCAGTGTGGCGAGGCAGAAGTGCCGTCTCAGGGCTGCGCTACATAAAAGATGTATTTCACAGAGGAAGAGTTGCTGCACACTCATCCCTCTGCGCAGGCGGCCTT